GAACGTTTATCATGCAATCTTTCTGCAGCGGTTCAATCGACAAATGGCTGAAATTATTTCCGTACGGTAATACGCCGTCAGAATGATTAGATATTCGCATAAGCCAAAATTACCGTAGCGTGATTTTCGATTGCAGTGAAGACAGCGAGAAGTATGAGGGCGATATTACACGAGATAAGTTGGAATATTGATAAACACCTTCTACCAACTCGTTCGATCAGCAACGGTGCAAAACATGCAAATATAAAGTAGACAATACCGATTGCGAGAGTACTGTATCGGGCTGCGCTGCTGTAACATACAAGTTGAGTAATCTTTCGATTTCGTGACGCGAACACTAAATGTTTTATACAGTTACAATAGAATTCATCCCGTCCTGTCTATCTGAATAAAATGCTTTCAATGAGTCTGAATATAATATTATACATTACGTTATTAATATGATCGCATTAATATCATTTCTGCATTTTGTGATCCAAACTGAAGTTTCGCATGTGACTTACGCGCTTAATTTGGCATTCTTGAACATATCTGTACTGTACGCGAATATAACAGTACATGCGGTGAACTGTTGTGACAACATCATCAGTACAGATACAATCATTGGAATTCGTAGATCACTGCGACGCAATAAGTCAAGACAAGATCCTTTTTTCACCTGAAAACAACTGGAAAATTATTGAAAGAAGTTGTTAACGAGTACATTTATGTGCAATTTTAAAATCGCATTCTGCGTTTCACGTTAAAAGTCATGCATGGAACAGCTGGATGCATCGGTCAGAGTTGCATGAGCAGAACCGTTGTTGCTTATTCCGTTCATCATGAGCTGTTCTGTTTTGAGGATTTATTGAAATGGATCGGATAATACCTCAGAAGTTGTTATTTCTCTGACGATTGCATCATAAAAAGGTTCTGCATTCTCTTCATCCACTAGTTTTCGCACTGAATTAAGCGCCAATTTCTCATTGTGTGACACAGCCAATAAATATCTCAATTGAATANTAACGAAAATTAATTCCATTTCAATTCGTCAAAATTTGGTTTTTAGAAACTCATTTCCAGCTCTTCAATTCTAGCATTCTAATTATTAAAGATTAGTTATCAAGGATTTGGATAAATTTAGAATTTCGAACTTACTTGGGACTTTCTGGACAGAACGGAAGTACAATGCAAAGTGCAAATGCTTGTAAACCGGGGAAGCCGAATGCCAAAGGCCAAAGACTATCGCTACCCATAACTTCGGGGAGACCGATCAACAGAGAGAACCAATCAGAGAATGAAACAGCAACCTAAATCAAACATTATATTATGCATCAACGTGAATGGCATCGGAATAAAATGTCAAGATGTGCCTCCGAAAGCGATGAGTCGTCTTGTTTAGGGGTATCACTCATCAGTAAACAATATTGATAGTGAGTTGTACATATTAATTGATTATTCCGATAATAACACCTGATCAACTAATCATTTCCATACCATGTGTACAGTGCCAGCTACGCCTCGATGTTGCATTGGGGTAATCTCCATCAAGTACATCGGTACAAGACCCGACGTAAGACCCATACTAACACCCAGAATAATTCGACCAAGTATTAACAGTTCAGGCGATTGTAACGTTTTTGTTAACGTCACTATTAATGCACCAAAAACATTCATTATGCCATTCGCTAAGAGACCATTGCGACGGCCAAAGCGTTCGGCCACATATCTAATGAAGAGGATTTTTACGGGAATACAGTTCCAGGTATAAGCCGCGAGATGATAGTTTGCATTAATACACAAAATTTTTATGTTCTGAATATTTTTTAATGAACCCCGATAAAAATGAAATCAAATCTTGATGATAGATCGCGTCATTCTCATCGAGCCATTCGTTAGAATCACTTTATGAAATTGTTACGTTATCACGTGAACTGAACGTGGACAGCATTTGAAGTATTTTTACGAGTAGTTTATCAGCTTTAAAGTTATCGTCGAACAAAAAATAACAAACGTACAAATTTGCTTATTTGTTTTATGAAAAACGGCCACCATTTAGCAATAATCGTTTCCTATGTCTAAAGTATCGAGGAAAGTGCGAGTGTGTTTAGAAAATATTGTGGATAGGAAGTTTGCTGAAGTGATCATTCACCTTGTTAATAAGGAGCCAATAATAGCTCCAATAGAAACACTCGAAACAACGAATGACCAAAACAAATTTATTTGAGATAGACTCATTGCTGCTCCATACCTTAAAAAAATCACTGTCGCAAAAAAATCCAATCAACAATTCGTTTAATATTTCGTCTTGAATGAAATTAAATTATCAATTTCGGTTCACTGAGATTATAACTATTTGTAATTGCTCGTGATATTATGATGTGTCATAGTTTGTTAGCTTGTTC